CGCCTGACTGGTTAAGACCAGTCAATGCAAGGCGCATCAACGAAGGAAATAAGTGGGAGCTTGAGAAGAACAAACGACGAGAGCCATTGTCTGTTTGCAACGCCATGTCTCCATTTAATTATATCGGAGGTGGTATCACCGTGGAGCCGTATCAAACAGTGCCCATCATTGGATTGTCACTTCACCCAGTTATCGAACGAATGTTACCACAGCTGAACACAGACATTACTCTCAAAATATCATCTTTGAACAAGTTGGGAAAACCTCGTTTTTCAAAATCCTTTCACGAGATGTGCCTCTCAAATTGCCTAATCTCTGGACAGGGGACAACTCAATTGAGCATAAACTTGAAGCGAAATATTTCACTTTTGAACTCGGTTTTAAAAAATAACATTCTTTATTCCAGTGATAACTATGAGCTCGATGCCCGTGATAAATTACAAATCACATTACTGAATTTCACAGCTGATATCTATGTTCGCATTCGAAGGGAACCATTGCCAGATCTGTATGATCCTGGTGAGAGAAATTCAGTCATCGATAAAGTCACAGTCATCACTAAAACATTTGAGAGGTACGACAGTGTTGATGAGTTTGTATCCAGCATTCATATGTTCTATCCAAACTTGACAATAATAATTGCAGATGACTCTGAGTTTCCACAACCTATCAAAAAGGATCATGTTAAACACTTTATTATGCCTTTTCGAGAAGGAAGTTTTCCAGGAAGAAATTTAGCGTTGAGTCAAGTCAAAACTAAATACGTAATATTTTTAGATGATGATATGTTTTTCACTAGCAGGACTAATTTGGAGGCCATGCTAGAAAAACTGGAAGACCCAAAAGCCGACATGGATATAGTTTGTGGTCGGGTGAAACATTTGTCTGAACTTAAAGGTTTCAGAAGAATTGGCTACAGTGGCACTCAAGGATACTGTAATTTAGGACCATTTGTTCCGCAAAATCATCAAGTCTATGGATACCCACAGTGCACATGGGGAGAAATGTTTATATTTTTCTTCATGGCTAAAACAGCAGTTCTCCGTAAAATCGGTGCATATCCACAGATTGTACAGGCTGCTCACGAAGAGGCATGGATAGACACGATAGGAAAGGCGAAGAGCGCGTTTTGTAGTGACAGTGTAGTCAGTCATAAACATTACAGCAACAGCAAGTATCTCGAATTCCGAAGGGAGTCGCATTCAGTGTTATACCGTGATCCATTGGCATTATTTGAAAACAATATATGCTACTGGTGGCGTCGTTATAAATTTCCCGGTATCCATTCCTTCAATTTATACAGCCGTCAAAACAATCTGGAGTGAGGCTCCCGGATACAGCAATTAATTTCGGTTTAATAGAAGCATTCGCAATACATAATTGATGTGATATGTTCTTCAGATATTTTCAGACTTATAAAATATATCACCTAGTCTTGTAATCATTAATTGCATTAATCAAACCATGCTATGTTAATTGAAAGCTTGATGAAGCTTTTCCCGGGTAGAATATATATATTGCAGTTCCCGGTTTATTAATTATAATCTAGGATACGGAAAAGCTACAATACCCGCGCTGTATTTTGTATAAAACCACGCCGTGTCTGGTCCAGTCGTGTGCTCTTATGCCAACATTTCGCAGTGATGCCGGAACAAACTCACACTATATTTATCGATTACATAATAACAACACCCACTTGTCATATGAAGGTGTTTTTATATTGCCCAGGTAATAAAAGATGAATAACAATTGAGTAAATGGTACAATGTAATCTTGAATTTGTCTACACGACTGGCATTCTGCATATACATACATAAATACCTAATAATATAATAATAATAATAATAATAATAATAATAATAATAATATAGTATTGATATGAATAGTTGTAATGTATCTATGTTGTAAAATTAACCAAGTCATACTATGTTAGCAACTGTTAAATATACATTTCACTTTTTATCACGATGCTTTCACATATGACGCGTTTAAAATAATCTACTTTTAATTATTCGCCAAACATGTTACTAAACCAAAATGCGAATACAATATTGAGATTACTAAAGATACTTATAATGATCCCCGCATGTATGGTACATTTTGTACATGTTGTTATATTCCTTCTCGGTTGAATATTGCTTTATCATTTGTATATTATTTATTGCTAGTATATGTGTAAATTATGTAATTGAATTTATAATATGACAATAAATAAGGTCAAGCATTGTTTCCGAAAAAAAATTTTTAATTTCGGATTATATATATAAGAGCTATGTATCTTGTTTTAGATTCCCAGAGATTATAGTTAAGTTTATATGTGAACTACATTGCGTTCATTCAATGTACTACATCGCATAGAGCACTATTGTACATGCTAGTGACACATAATACATGTGGTGGCGCTCTCCGCCGGATGTAACGTATTTCGGTGACTCTGTACTGTAACGGCAACGTCATCCTTAAAGATACACCCCTCTGTTGTTTGACCAACATCTTTTTAACGACTTTTGAGGATTTATACTAATAGTTTTAACAATGATTACAGAAACTTTTGAACCCTTCTCAGACACATTTGTTCATTGCAGCCTCATTTTGATGAAAATGGTAACGCCATTTAGCTGCACATTTATTTGCAGCTTTTTATTTTTAATTATAATACATACGACTTGAATCCCCCATCTGGCTAATATGCTGAACAACTTGCATGTCGCCAGATCAGAAGCACGGGCGTGTGGCAATGAAATCCCCTATCCCCTTACTCTCCTGACATTGCACCCTCTGACTTTCATCTCTTCCCAGCCATGAAGTTGGAAAGCGTCTCCCATATAATGCAGCCTTGATTTCTGAAGTTACGACGTGGTTGGAGGACCAACCTGGGGTGTTCTACACAAACGGTTTCCAGAGCTGCATCAATTGATGGGAGAAATGCATAACTCTGGGTGGTTCCTATGTAAAGAAAGACTAATAACTGTGCCAAGTTTCATTAATCTCCTGCTATGAGAAATGGGTCAGGGGCATTACTTATTGAACGCCCCTCGTAATTCCCTTCGAAATCGTGCTATTATGGTGTGTGAAGTATTGACATGACTAAGTGGGTTTAGAGCCCTTTCCTGGCACAATATGTTAACATACTTCGATTTATGGCCTGATAGCATTTTACAATTTACGATTTAGTTTCACCCATAGTCATCGGACCACGAAAGTGTAGGAAGCAAGTTGCTGTTGGTGGCGGTGTTAGTGTTGTTGCTGATGTTGTTGTTATTATTATTATTATTATTATTATTTAATTAATTTATTTCAAGGTGTTAAAATGATGTTTCGTTGGTGATTAGTTTATCTTCACAATTATGCTTTATTTTATTTTTATCTTTTTAATATTTAGAAATACCAGTAAATCTATAAATTTCACGCTCTATGTTCTATTTTTATTTTTTAACTGTCATTTTTTTTTATATTTTTGGCTATTTCTGTTCATAACTATGTTTTAATTTATTTATTTATTTATATTTGCTTATTTTTTTATTTAAAATTTTTCTCATATAATACATCTCAATTACTTTTGTTGTTTTTTTGTTATTTTTGTTTGTTTTTTCATTTACCTGTCATTTTCCCTTCTAATTGTCGTTCATTACTATTAGCAGTTTCTATTATATTTCCATGTCTATTTTTATATTTCCAATTTTTCGTGTGTGCTTCAGTTTCATATTGGTTTAGTTGTAAATTTACTTCTATACTTGATATACTGTAAGTGTATTACAGAAACTTCACATATGTTCTCATTCCTTTAATAACTTTCAAATTTTACAGCTGTTTGTCAAAGCATTAGGCACTCTGTCCTCAGAATATAACACAGCTGTAGATCAGTTGTCGGCTTTGCTTAGCATAGAAACCCGGACGGAAAATATACATAACGTCTCCGCGTCTATGTTTATTTTCCATCGGGTTTCTCATCCGGTAATTAGATCACTGACCATACAACACATTTCATGGATTCCCTCTCCGATCATATTATTCTGTCATATTATTTGAACAATGTAAACATTTTTTTTTAAATTTTCGTGTTTGTCCCATGACTTTCCTCGGATACGTGATTTCCACGGCAAAGTTGAAAACAGTGACGTCACTCCGAGGCCGAGAATACGACACAGACACGGACAGATATTTGATAGAGGGCGCTATTATAACACGCAAACCGTCTGCGCAGTGAATTTATTTATAACACAGGGTAAGGCGCTAACAACCAATACTGTTTAGTACCACGTATTTGTTGATGAGATGAAATCACGCCGTTTTGTGGTAGTTTATGCGTCAATTTAAAAGTGCATGAAACGTTTGCTCCATATCTGACAATAAATTCGAATAAAGGTACTTTTAAATTAGATGTATATGTATGCATACAATTACGTCATAATTGTCTATTGATTTATGTTATTGAATCCTTAGCACTAGAGCGGTTGAAGTAAATCGTTCCGTAAACTCATAATAAACATTAACGACAGTAGCTGACAGTTTAACAATAATGATTGAACTAGGGAGTTCATTCTGACTCCGTTACTCATCAGGTAATACTGTCAATTCATGTTCTTTAAAACCTTCTTAAAATAGGTTATTGCACTTTCTACATTTTGAGTCATATACTTGTACTCCATTCCACCTAAAAAGTTATTCTCTTACTTCCGCGTTTCATAGAGAGTGACAGAGAATATGTTAATTGAGCCAGCAAACTCATTCATATCCAATCGATATTTTTACGCTTTTTTCAACAATGGCACTCTAAAAAAACTGCCACTTTCATTACAAAGAGTGGGTTGAATTGTAAACAACAGAATATTAATTTGTAGGAGTGTTAAATAGGAAATAATAATATGAACTGTGAATTATTGCTAATAACAGCAGTAGACTACGCAGCGTCCAAGCTGCCCTAATTGTACTTTATTACCAGCCGTTGTTAATACCCTCGCCAGCGATCCGTTGTATTAATATTACTCTCTTCCCTCACGATGGCGTTGCTTGGGATCTTTCTGTACCGAATTTTAGACTTCTTTTTCAGAATCGTATTACCGGTGGCCGTAGTTCTGTATTTCGCTGTACAGCTGGGGAAATGTGCGATTCACATAGAAGGGGCAGCGCCAGAATGCAAGAGACAATCGACTGACAGCAATTCAACATATAACGTTGTGGCTGTTGCGATCAATGGCGACGGGAATACACTCTCCAAGGACGAGTTTGTGATGCGTGAAGAGATGCAGATAGGAAGACTCCGGTGCAAATGTCCCCAGTCACCAGATTGGTTAAAACCCGTCAACAAACGACGAATTGCAGAAGGGAACAAATGGGAGTTTGAGAAGAAGAAACGTCTTAAACCACTGTCTATCTGCAAAGCCATGTCACCGTTTAATTATATCGGAGGTGGTATCACCGTGGAACCGTATCAAACAGTGCCCATCATTGGATTGTCACTTCACCCAGTTATCGAACAAATGTTACCACACTTGAACACAGACATTACTCTAAAAATATCATCAACAAAAATGTTGGGAAAACTTCACTTATCGAAACAAATACGTTATGACGCGGAGCTTTCAAATTACGTCATACTCGGTGAAGGAACATTCGAGCTGGAAATTTCCATAAAACAAAATGTTAAACTGTTGAACACAATCTTAGATAACCATATTCTATACACAAGTTCAAGTTATGAGCTCGATGTTTATGATAGACTACAATTAACGTTATTGAACTTTACAAACGATATTCATGTTCGTATTCACAGGGAAGCATTGCCAGATCTCTATGATCCTGGGGAAGAAAATTCTATTATCGATAAAGTCACGGTCATTACTAAAACATTCGAAAGGTACGATGGTATCGAGAAGTTCATAAATAGGGTTCATCAGTTTTACCCGAATATATCAATTATAATCGCGGACGACTCACTTTATCCACATCCGATTAAGAAGGACCACGTTAAACACTTCATCATGCCCTTTCGGACAGGGAGTTTTCCAGGTAGAAATTTAGCCCTGAGTCAGGTGAAAACCAAATATGTCGTATTTTTGGATGATGACATGTTTTTTACCAACCAGACGAATTTGGAAGGAATGATGGCAAAACTTGAAGATCCTAACGTCGACATGGATATTACATGTGGCGAAGTCAAGAATTTGGCGAAACTTAAAGGTCTACGGAGTATTGGATACAATGACAGTGAAGGATATTGTAATCTGGGACCATTTTATCCTCGTAGTAACGTTGTACCTGGATATCCACAGTGTGTATGGGGAGAAATGTTTATATTTTTTTTCATGGCTAAAACAGCAGTTCTCCGTAAAATTGGTGCATATCCACAGATTGTACAGGCTGCTCACGAAGAGGCGTGGATAGACGCGATAGGAAAGGCAAAGAGCACTTACTGTAGCGACAGTTCCGTTTACCATAAACATTTCAGGAACAGAAGATACACTAAATATCGTGTAGAAACACGTTCGGTTTTGAATAATGATCCCATGGCATTGTTTGAAAACAATATGTGCTACTGGTGGAGTTTTTACAATTTCCCGAATATAGATAAGCACAGTTTAATGATACAGAGTCCTTTAGAGTAGAGAACGTTCAATCTCATACGCTTGATAGTAGAATCCTGTCAGATCGAAATGACAGAATGAACTACGCTCATCAAGTTGTGCTCGTGCCGTATGGACTCGATGATTGCTAGGACCAAACAAACATCATATTTACCAGAGTGACATTATTATTATTTGCTATTTTTATGAAAATGTGTTAATGATTTTGACACAACCACCATCGCAAATAATGATCGCAAATGATATTGATTTAAAATCGTAAATCTCCCACAGCTGTCCACTAATGACAAGACAAAGGCACAGAACGTCGTCATCTATATAAATTTAGTGGTATTTAAGTCATACAGCAGAGGATACTCATGTTTACCAGAAAGATAAAATTTAGCATTTGTATACCAATTAGGAGTAAGACACTGTTGCTGTCTCACAAATTATTCCGGAATTTATAATTTGTTTTATTTAAAACTTTGTTTAATTTAATTTCAAAATGGCAGAATATGTTTTTTTATTTATTCTCAATGAATCAACAGGCTGTCGCAAAAGTGCTCATTTCAAATTTCTATAGTTCATAGGAAATACATGTAATTTGAAATATGTCAATCATTGATGAGTTATGTAACAGAGTTTGTAATACACCGAATACAATATGGATCGATACGTACAAGCGAAGATCAGAAATGACATAGATCATGTATAATTCTACATATTAGTAGTGTAAAGGAGGAGTGTGTGCCTGGCTGCTCTCTAAATACATTCTTCGCAAATGGCTGCCAAAATCACGCTAAGAGCGAGAGAACGAGACTTGAGTACTGCATAATAGTGTTTCATTCTCCAACGTCATCGCGTCATCATTTTTTTCCGTAACCATGATACCATTGTATTTGGAATGGACGCAAGGGCGGAAGAGAATGTAAAACTATTTGCGGGGGGAGCAAAACAAGTAGCGTGGCTCTCTCACTCAGCGCGATCACTTTCAAAATAAGGTCTATAGTAAATAGAACATATATAACACATCTTTTATTGTATATAAGCACATATTTAATATGTTTTTCAAAGCAAAACAAAATAAATACATAAATGCTTTATTCAACTGTCAATTTCACTTTCGTGAATAATGCACTCCCTGTAATGAAACCCACTAACATACGCAACGATTTTCATCAAAATTAATAGCTTTTGCTTTCAACATATGTAACAGCCATCAATACATTGGAAACACGTCAATAACATGGTTTGAGTTAATATTTTACTGACATTCCTAACAGTAAAAATAGCATGTTGGATATTAGTCTAGTTCTATATTAAGCTAACATTGATCCCACATGCACATGTCACAGCTTGTCCGCTCTAATATCTCAGTTTTAATGAATTTATTTGATGAAATTTTGTTTAAATTATTTTGTTTTCAATATAAAAATACCTTGTATGATTGTTCAACATTTGAAAATAAATCGACCATAACACATGGCCTATGAGTCATTAACAAACACGGTTTACAGAAACTGTTACAGGGAATATATAGAAGACATTGTTTATACAATTTATAGCATCCCCAGCAGCTGCTAATATACTTATGTATAATTTAGCACGTGGTGTGACGCTGACTGATTGTTTTTACTTGGATGTGTGTGCGGCGCAGTCCCCCCAATATGACGTTACTGGGAGGATGTTTACATCGATTGGCAAACTTTAACCTGAAGGTGATCTTACCAATAGTTTTACTTCTTTATTTCTACGTACAAATGAAAAATGGTGTACCGTGTGAGGCTGAGGTGGAACCAATCTGTGAGCGGCAATCAACTGATGGCGCATCTGCATCACAGACTATGGCTGAGATTATGCATGATGATGGACATTTTCCGTACAAAGATGAGGAGGCTTTGCGAATCGAGATGCAAGCAGGGCGGCCAAGGTGTGACTGTCCCGAACCACCTGACTGGTTAAAACCAGTCAACAAGAGACGGATTGAAGAAGGAAAGAAGTGGGAAGAGCAAAAGAAGAAGCTAAGAGACCCTTTGTCTATGTGTAAAGCTATGTCACCATTGAGTTATGTTGGCAGCGGTATCACTGTGGAGCCGTATCAATTAGTACCAATAATTGGATTGTCTCTTCATCCATATATAGAACAACTGTTACCGGACATGAATACAGACATTATTCTCCAAATATCATCTACAAAGAGGTTGGGAAAACCACGTTTATCTAAAAAGATATATGAAATAGAAAAAGACTCCCAACATTTCAGTGTATCTGGTGAGGGGACATATGTATTGAAATTGAATTTTAAAAAAAATATAAAATTGCTGAAGGAAATTTTAAATAACAATATTCTTTATTCGAGTGATAATTACGAGCTTGATGTCCGCGACAAATTACAACTTACATTCATAGAATTCACTGTGGACATTTATGTGCACATTCGAAGAGAACCGCTGCCAGATCTTTACGACCCTGGAGAGAGGAATGCGATCACCGACAAAGTCACAGTGATAACCAAAACATTCGAAAGGTACGATGCTCTCGATAAGTTTGTTTCCAGTATTCACACATTTTACCCGAATTTAACAATAATTATTGCAGATGACTCTGAGTTTCCAAAACCTATTAAAAAGAATCATGTTAAGTATTACATCATGCCATTTAGAGAAGGAAGTTTCCCAGGAAAAAATCTCGCCCTCAGCCAGGTTAGGACAAAGTATGTGCTTTTTATGGATGACGATATGTTTTTTACTAATGAAACAAACTTAGAAGTAATGTTGGAAAAGCTTGAAGACCAGAACATCGACATGGATATAAATTGTGGACTGGTGAATAATTTAGCAAAACTCCGGGGTCTTCGGAATATTGCATACAATGACACTCAAGGATACTGCAATATGGGACCATTTTCACCTCCAAATCGTCAAGTGCCTGGTTACCCACAGTGCATGTGGGGAGAAATGTTTATATTTTTCTGCATGGCTAAAACAGCAGTTCTCCGTAAAATTGGTGCATATCCACAGATTGTACCAGCTGCCCACGAGGAGGCATGGATAGATACAATAGGCAAAGCGAAAAGTGCGTTTTGTGAAGATAGCTCTGTTACTCATACACACTACAGAAATAATAAATATGACAAGTATCGATGGGAGACGGAACAATTGATGCCACGAAATCCGATGGCATTTTTTGAAAACAATATATGTTATTGGTGGAGTTACTACCAGTTTCCAGGTGTCAATAAGACAGATTTAAAAGTGAAAAGTCCATTTGAATAGTTTGATATGTAGTTATACAATTTGTACAATAAATTGGAGAGGATCATTCTAATCGGGTGTGGTCATTTGCTGAAAATATTCTCACAAAACTTTTGTTTGTAGAAAAACATATGATACGATAGTTGGATCTGTAAGTCTGTATCCTTGTGTGACAATACGAACAGCTGAATGGTGCACGGGGTCACAGTCGTAAACCGGTTCAGATTTTAGGTCATTTTTATCCAGCACTGAGTTTTAGTTATTTCATGTTTTTCAAGACGTTAAGTGATTCGCTATATACGGCATGTTGTCTATGTTATGTGATAGACTTCGAGTTTTAGATACAGGCGATGCAATGTAATATACATTTATCAGACCCTGCAATCAGATTTTTCTGATACTATCACGTGGGGGCCCGTCAGTGTTTTTTTTTTT